GTTCCCCGGCCGAGACATACCAAAGTCCTTAAATATGGTAATTGTTCTTTGCCTATTGGTCAGCATGTCTTCTGCAAATGGGACACTGAAGAAACTTACAATTAATCATGCTGGATCCATTCCAACATTTGGGATCTTTGTATTTTCTCTCTACTTCCTTAAAAACTCTTTGTTTTCTAGTGTCCTGCTTGGCAATACCTCATGTTTGGCCCTAGTGTTGAGCATCCGCCCAAGTGGGGTAGACAATGGGTTCTGTCCCTAAGCAGTAACATACCAAAGTCTTTAAAAAATGGTAGTTATCATTCCCTGCTTAACGTTCAGCATTAAGCGTTATCGCAACTAATATTTTACCCGTTGTCAATGAAATGTAACCGGGTGGATTACTGGGCTGGGTGCCTTCGGCGAGGAAGCACTATCACAAGTAAGAAAAAACATCAACAAGCTCTGCCTCCAGCACACATACGCGGTTGCACGCATACATTACAATTACATAGATGGAGCATGTCATTCGATGAGTTTATAGTGCGTTAAAGCTAGCGCTATTAATAACACATGGGCGAATACTAGTCTGAACCTTCTGCTGACTCGCAGTCCAATAGCATGTAAATTGTATACTTTAAGTCCTCCTTAGCGGCCAGTATTTCTAAAAGACGTAGGATATACGGCTTGCCCGAGATAATTTTCTGGTAGCGCGTCATCGAGACAAGGGGTGTGCGGCTCTATATTTACCCTAGTATGTACTCTGGAAGAGATCATCGAGACACTGACTGGAAGTATGGCTCGAGTCCTGACTGCGAATATTCTTGTAGCAAGGCCAGCAGATTTGCCAATACACCAACATATCATGCATCCTGCACACATACCGGGAACTTTTCAGTTCACCATGACAAGGGGTTTCCCGTAAAAAGTAGTTCCGGCTAGTAGGTAAATACAACATTCCGTATTGCAACACAGAACGTTGTATTTCATGGTCTGAAAATCGCTTGTATTACTATTACAAGAATCAACAGGTATTTGATAAATTTGCAACACACGAATCCATGCTGAGTGAGGTGTGTATTCCTGTGAGTTTAGGATATTATCTACTGTTATCGAAGCTTTATTTGCCCCAGTGGTCGTGTGGTAAAAATCTGTAGGGGTATCCATAGTGAGCGAGTAGTGTAAAAGAATCCGTCAGATTTTGTCTGCTGCTTTCGATTCGATTAATGTGTCGCCAACACTTTATGACGTAGACTAACATCCAGTTCTTCGTACAGTATGCTTACTTTCACTTTTGCTATCAAAGTTTTGTTCGCGTCCTGGCGGCTATAAATGATATGTAGCTTGCATTTAATTAGAGTTCACTTAACGAAATAAGCTTTCGTACATACATTGGTCAGGAAACATGGATCGATTATATCTGCACATCGTCCAGATTGGAAGACCCCCACGTTATCATAATTTTAGTTCAAGTTCGTTTCTTGTCGTCTTTTCGGAACAACTCGGTATTGACTGCTTTCTTTTATCCCATTAAAACCGGTTGGACTGGTTCGACCCATTTCAGCCTGCATGTTTATGAAAAAAGGGCAGCTACAATGATCTGATGTTGCTTTCTTCCAAAAATGTGGCAAATATAAAGGCCTGCATTTATATATGCACGTCCTTCACGAGTACCCTTTAAAGTAATTAATATCACCATGGCATAAGCCCCGGCTTTTCATAAGAATTAAGTGTTACATAAAATCACGTGTTGCCAAGCGGTTTACCGAATAACAGTAGCTCGAATTGAAAATTTGAAACTAGAAGTCTAATATCTCTGCCAGCACACAACAGATTTCACAAGAGTTAGAAAAGGAAATGAACCAACAAGCATTTTAGATCTTATAGTAACAAATGAAGAGGAAATGATCCTTGGAATTCACTACAATAGCCCGATCGGCAATAGCGACCACCTTCAAACTTCAGTTTTTACTGCCAGAAACTCCTCTCTGCCAATGAAACACCGCGTTTGAATTACAGCAAGGGTGATTACGTTAGCATGAGAGAGAACGTCCATAAGGAATGGAATGGAATCCTAAAAGGCAATATCGTGGTAGTGAATAAAACGTTTACAGAGATCATTGAGTCCCCCTAGTACAAATAGATACATCCCCAAAAGTAAACCGAAAGAACCACAAACTTCTGGGAAAGATAAATCATCTCTGAATAAAGATATATTGAAAAAATTAATACAAAGCATAGGGAGTGGCAAGCCAACGATACATGAAAACGAAACATGAGAGTAAATACATAGAATATGCCAAAGCACGAACCAGTTTAAATGGGAAATACGGAAAGCTAGGCGAGAAATGGAAAGATATCAAGCTACACCCGAAACGTTTTTAGAAGTATGTAAACACTAAAAGAAAAGTAAAACCTGGTATTTCAGATTTAAGGGGACTGAAAGGGGATGACCAGCAGATGGCAGTAAGAGATAACGACAAAGCTGAAGTTCTAGCCAAATGTGTTAGTAACGTTTTTTACACGGGAACTCCCGGGAAAATTGCCAGATATTAAGACCCGAATTATAAGCTACTCCTTTGAGGAAATTGTCTGTAACCCGCATATGTTGTATGAGGAAATGTTTTTGCAAATTATGCTGTTAAGTAGGTTTGTTAAGTCAAATGTTTATGTTAAAATCCCACCCAGCCCACCCTTTGCTGCTGCTGTTTTTTTGTTTTTTTTATGTGGTTGCTTTTACGAACTGGGAGTTCCTCGTCACGGCTTCCTTGAATTTTGTGCTTTGGCGGATGACGCATAATCAAGCATTATTCCGGATAGTTACCTCTCTGCTGCTCTATAACCAGTCGGGTTATACATTATATTTGTGGCATAACTAGAACTTATTGGGTATAACCAGTTGGGTTATACATAATATCTGTGGCATAACTAAACAAACTTACTACTCAAGAATCTATATGAAAATAAATCACAAGGACCAGACAGGATGCACCCAAAACCTCTAAAAGGATTGAGAAATAACATAAGTATACCTTTGTCTGATATATTCAACAAATCCTTAGCAGAAGGAAAACTACCACAATCTTGGAAGGAGGCAAATCTAACGGCAATGTTTAAAAAGATATCAAAGTCGGACCCGGGGAATTACAGACCCGTTAGCCAAGCATTATTGTGAAGACATTAGAAAACCTGGTTAGGGATAGTATTATAAAACATACGGACAAAAACTATCTGTCAAGTCCCAAACAGTTCGGATTCATCTCTGGCAGGTCAACGCAACTCCAATTATTAACGGTACTTGAAGTATGGACAGAAGTTATAGACAACTTTGTATGGCGGTTAACTAGATGTAATGTATATGGATTTTATGAAGGCCTTTGATAAAGTACCACACCAACGTGTACTAAAGAAACAGTCAGGACACGGAATAAGTAAAAAGTTGTAAAGTGGATTAAAGGATTTTGGACAGGATTTTTTACATTTTGTAAAAATAAGCGATACTTGTAATATACTTAAATGAATAGCGAATATTCCATCAACGCGCGCTCAGAAGTGTCCCGTTACCTAGATATAGACAATCAAAGGTGACCGCTCCTTACTGGTGATGATTCTAATGAGCTAACAGGTCGCGTGGTACTTGTGACGTCAGAGTGGCACGTTTGGGTTACTGGCCCAAATAACAGGTACTAGGGTTCAGGAGATACACCCGTCCTATATATATCTGATTTGTTTCAATGGACACGTCTGACAGCGGGATTATTGGCATGAACTACATACTTAAACAATTCTCTACCTGTTAAGGTTGAAGACAGGACGAAGACAAATCACTATTTACGTAAAATAATTACATCGGAGGACGATATTCTGATACGATAGGAACGTAAATAAGATACGCATATAGCACAGCGGCTACACAGAATATAAACTCCACATATTACTTGATTTAAAACAAAAGAAGATGACGTCAGAGTCAGTTTAATTATGTGACCTTTTAGAGTCATATATTTGATATATTACTGTAATGTTTTATAAAGTCGACATCAGTTCCGCGCTATTACAAGAAGACAAACACGAACATATCGCAGCCTCCCAAAATACACACACATACACTACACGCATGTATCTTGCACACAGGGGAGGCCGTCCTTAAATGACCTTAGCTGTTAATAGGACGTTAAACAAAATCAAACAAACAAACAAATGTTCTGAAATCTGCTGATAAATCGCATGTACAATTGTATTTCTTCACACGCTATGTAGGTTTTTCTCTACTGACCGCATTTCTCGATTGACCTCGAAATTCACAAGCACTAACACTGGAGTTTTGAAAACACAAATATTATAGGAAAAAACCCATCTTCAATTTTGTAAATATATACTAAATGTAAGAAAAGGTACACCCAACTTCATTGTTAATGGTGATCTTGGAAGATACCCACTAGACATTGAAATTAAATGTAAAATAATAGTATTCTGGCATTAGTTGATTACCTCTAGTAAGTTATCAAGTACTATTTATAAGCTAATGTATACATTACAAGAAAATGGAACTGCGTCATTTAAATGGCTCGCATATGTTAAAGATATGTTATCCCAAACTGCTCTGAACTATGTGTGGTACTATCAATCTACATGTTCCTTTTCAAAAGACGAAATCAAGAGGCTGGTGAAAAATAGACTAAAGGATCAATTTATACAGAAAGGGTTTGATGATATTCTTAACTCCTCTAGGGGACAAACATATTCAATATTTAAGACAAAGTTTGAACAAGAAATACATTTAATTAAGCTTCATACAAATGACAGGAAAATCACGTGTACATTTCGTTGTTGCAATATGCATTTATCCGTAGAAAAAGGAGGATGGTTAGGTATTCCTCGTCAAGAAAGAACCTGTACATTATGTAATTCCGACATTGGAGATTACTTATTTAAATGTAAAAGTGATTCAGTCAAATTTCTAAGAGAGAAATATATACCAAAATATAATTTTACTTATCCAAGTCAAATAAAAATGCAAGGATTGTTTCATATATTTATTGTAAAAATGTACACAAAAGTTTGCAGATTCCTAGAAAGGATTGAAAAAATATAAACTTAATTTCTGTACAAGTTTGTGTTCCTTCTCTCTGTAACTATGCTATAGTCAATTATCATTATTTGCAGAAAATGTTGAAAATTTTGTACTAATCATCACACGCCATGTATCATATTTACTATATGTGTGTGACCCCTTGTTACACACGTAAGTGTGTCGGAGTGAATGAATAAAACTTGAAAACTTGAACTGGTACCTTACCATTAAAAACAAGACTATTCATGTCATAGTCATGGGTAGGTAATGTAGGGCACCAGTGATTTTCTCAACGAAGGACCTCTGGACACCTGTGTACCTCTAATTCAATAGGCCATACAAATCGATAACAATAGACATTTAAATCGAACACAATAGGTTCCCTTTGATGTATTGTCTTCGAAAAATAGCCTATAGAAATCAAACAATAGATCTATAGAAATCAAACAAATATTTACAAGTTTAAAGATCTGTTATCATTATGCAATCAACGAGTTCTGACAGGTTTATCATTTTCCTAGCCAAAATGGCCCCTCTTTTGTGAATGATACATATGTATAACTGTTAATAGTTAAATAACTTGGGAATTATATGTATGTTTATTTATGTTTGCTTTGTAATTTCCATTGTATGTCATATCATACTATACCGTATCGGTTCGAAATTGAACTGTCCATTCTTTTGTTTATTTTGGGGAAACAAAAATTACATAATACAAGACATAAACAAACAAAAAACAAAACAAAAAAATTGATGTTGACATTTGCTAAAAATTTTATGCTGACATTTGCTAAAATTCTTGATGCTGACATTTGCCAAACTTGTTGTGTAAGTAACAGAATAATTACAATAACTAGTTAAATCGAGGAATAAAACCACAACTAGCTGTTGTTATAAAGCGTTCGAGAATTAAAAAAAAAAAATCAGCAGGAATCTTTGATTATTTCCTCTAAACATCAATAAAATAATTTAAATGAGCAGTTCAGGTTGTATGTAAAATGTGTTCGAATTCGCTGAGGAATGTTCAGTTCATTTGAAAGTGTATTTTGAATTAGTTACGTAATAGGTGTCTCCCCGTTGATGTGATGGCCAACAATAAGTCAAACAAGTGGTTACGTAATAGGTGTCTCCACGTTGGTGTGATGGCCAACAATAAGTCAAACAGTTACCGCCCGTCACCCTATTGAAGCAGTTCATTTGATTTTGTCAGAACTGATTTTCGAGTGTAAATCTGTGTATTCTATATACATTTGGAAGCAAGTAAAGACAGACAATCCTTCAATCAAGTGAACCCATTATAGCACATAAAGAAACCACATGGCTTCATTATGATTTATTTTAGTTGGAAGCAAAGAAAAAAAAACATGATGATAAAAAAATCAACGTTTACTCGTATCGAAATTACATTTTGTATCAATGTTTCTGTGTTGAGATTCATATATTTTCATTTCAGTCTATCATTCTAGTTTTTCTATCAAGGTTATTTTCATTAGTTTGAATCCACTCACGTTCTGTCGTTACTGTTGATTATTATTTTTTGTGTATTCTGATTGTAATGGAAAGCACTGCACGGAATTTACGGTAAATATATTATATTAACTCTGAATAAATATTGAATATTGACTTCATTCGGAATAACTTCTCGAAGTGAAAGATTAGAAACGTTCAACAGCATTGGTGAAGAATCACAAGGAAATGTGCCTTTGGCGAGAGTTCCTGTTCTTTAATACCCCGTCATGTGTTGGACTGCAATAAACAAAGACATGATACAATAAAAAATCCTACTCGTCAAAATAGTCAGTCTTGCCTTTTAAATAGTATAGTAGATAAAAAAGCAACATACAATTATATGCTGCATTTGAATTATAACTTTAAAATAGTCAATAATAATTTATATATATATCTGTCAACACATCATCAGGTGGGGACCCACAAGATAGTTTGTAGGGGTTAAACGTCTTCGCAACAACTAGGGTCAAACATATTCGGATGCCCTTAACTATTTCGAGCACATTAAAACACCATACAAATATGGGTTTAGAGGGGGATGATTTTAAAGGAATGTTCATATCTCCAACTGAAGACATATACTAATATTATGCGTAGATCTATCTTGTTGAGTTCTGCGAAATCCGTTATAGCCGTCGGTGTTTTCCACAAACCTCAGATTCTGGGGAAAACGTTAAATTATCTAGTCTACATTAAGCATACTATTTGTATTTAAGTAATGCCTCCATATACGATATAACTCTACACTTATATAGAATATAATGTTTATCCACAATGCATATATATTTAATATATTGTTCACTATTGCAGTTTCTTTGTATATTTGTTGTTTTGTTATTTGCCTTCAAATTACTCTGTTGAGGTGGGATACATTCGTCCTAGTCTTACCCCGAACCTTTTATGGTAAACTATATCCGAAAGCTGGAAGGATTAACCCTAAACAGCTTCAAAATGGTGTGTATGTTTAGCCTTAAACCATAACTATAAAATGAAATATATACGTACACGATTATTTAATAGTGAAAATAGAATTGTAAAGGAGAAGTATATTATACATACCGATATCCCAGTTGCAGTTACTGACATTAATATTATACGGAACGTAGATTTCCACCCATATTGGTCTTCTCGCAACCCTGATCTCTCCGGTCAGTACGTTTAGTGTTAGCCAAGGATTGTTGGTGATGTCCAGTTCTTTCATGTACTGCAATATTTCAGGCTTGTCGTTTCCCCTCACAAGCATCAATCTAACATTAGTGTTTCCGTTATTGAGCGAATAAGTCACGCCTTCATATAGTTTAATATTTCCTCCAAGTTGTTGTATTACACTTGTAATAGGAATGCTCACCCGGCTATTGCCGTACGGAGAGAATGTTGGCAGACCTCCATTGTAGAGTGTGGCACAGAACCACACCCGGGTGGTACCAAGTCAAGGCGGTGCTTTACCAACCACATCCATTCTAAGGAAGGGTTGTGTACCTGTGGGCACAGGGTATTAAAACACTGTATCAAAGCTGCTTTTTCCCCAGAGGTCGCGTGGTAAAAATATGTAGGAGTATCCATAGTAATCAAGTCATACAACGTTTGCCAAGTTAAGTGTATTGATAATCTATAGATACATGTATATGCGTCATAAACACGTGATTACATGAAATTCATTTTAAGTAATTTTACGCATGTTTACTTTCGCTTTCGTTATTAACAGTGACGGTAAAATGACAAGATATTCGTAAAAGCGCATGTACGTACGTGTCCTTAAAATATACTCGACAGTCACATACTTCACTTGTCCATTTTTCTGCATACATACTTTAAAAGGTGATTACATTAAGGATATAATAATCATAATTATTGCTACCATCCCAGGATGGTAGCTTTAGAATTAGTAGCTGTACCAGGCATTTTGAGGGGTTTCCTACGATGGCCGATAGCAGCCGACACAAAACAACTACAATATAAGACATTTGTGTACATGTACACAATACAACTGCAAGTGCTATTAACATTCCTTTACGGTTCGGATCAACTTGATATTTCACACGTGCCTGATGCGGCGGTGAATTTTAAGACCAAACGACAAGGAATGGGAATATGTTCATAAATCAGCGAAGAGGCGATAGAGGTCACCACACAGTGTTGCTACGTAGATTGTGCAAAATATTTCACCAGTTGATGCTTGAAGGCGACTTAATCTCATTACCTGAAAAATGGATATACTAGAAAAGTTTATCATTAGTAATTATCAAGTGTTTAATTTTCTTAATCTTTTCTTTGTATGTTGATTTGTCTTATGTCCTATTTTTAATTTGAAAGAAATGTAACAGACATAAACCATCGTTATACGCATATCTATGTGGGATTTACCTAATGTATGGATTGGAGTCATAAAGTAGAACGTTGCATTGTTCATTGTGAATAGTTGAGTACTAAAGTCAAATATAATATGATACTTACTGTAACAAAAGTTGTATGTAGATTGTTCTGAGATAAATAAACAGTATTTTATACCAAAGGCAATAGCCTTCAAACTTGTGAATATGTCACATGGAACACTTTAGATTACGTATGTTGGGTTATTGAGTTAAAATTATAATTCTATATACAAATTAAATAACTATATGTTTTTGTTTTGTCTCCAACCATTACTCCAAACATCACATAAAAATTATAGGATATTTGGTATACCTCTGATTTGTGACCGTCTAGTACTGTTTGACTTCTAGGGAATCTAGTAATGTCCTTGTCGTTTATTAGCCGCCGCATCAGGCACGTGTGAAATATTAAGTTGACCCGAACCGTTAAGGAATGTTAATAGCACTTGTAGTTGTATTGTGTACATGTACAGTTTTTAAAAAGTGCACATGTACATAAATGTCTTATATTGTAGTTTTTTTGTGTCGGCTGTTTTGGCCATCGTAGTTTCCACATGGATATTGATAGTCTGTCTACTTTGATTGGCTCGCTATCATACTTAACACGCAGTGATTTTTTATCTGCTGTCTGAGATGTCACCATTCGTAGAGGTACAAGTGGGGAAATTAATTGCAAACAAAATGGGATGGATAAAGTCAAAGAGATCCGAATGTTCATACAGGATTGTTGGACATTGTTCTGCTTTTCCACGCACGGCGGCACTGTTGTTTGGTTATGGTCGGAAAAATGATAAAATCAGAGAGCTCCGAATTGGCATTTCAGAGTCATACTAATACCAGAACAATACGGAAAATAGGACCAAGTGCTTTAATGTGTTTCTTTTTTATGTTTTTTAATGGAACTACCTTAATGAATTTATATTACATGAATAAATATGTATTTTAGCACAAGTCTATATCAAAAATATACATTGCATTATGATTTAAAACAGAAATCCAAAACATACCAAACATACCGGTCCTGACATTACCAGTCCTGGTTTTTGTAAAGAAAGCAAAATCACAAAATCCGTAACAAGTAAAAACAGTCCGGTCCTGGTATTAGTGTGACCTGCTATCTTACTTTTAAGTAGTACTAGCACGGAATTAAATTAGATTTATCTAAGTCCGTGGTACTAGTCATTGCATGCTATTCATGTTATCTCTTTCTCATTGGATATTGATGCCCCTGCTAGGGCATTCACACTAAATCACAAATATATATACTATGTAACAGGGGGTGTACAGGCATTGAAAAGGCCTGTCCCTCAAATGAGGAATAATCCTGCAGTTATGCGACGTAACCTTGTTCACAACATGCGTATGAGAGAAACACCACAGTACCACCTGACCAACTGGTTAACAGTTGTCCGCTCGTGGACGCACTGACCACCAAATTAATAATGCTGTTGGTAGCCTTTTTAGCGTTTTGGAACGCAATACTTGTCATTATAAATATCGTATTTGCAGGTTTATCATTATGACCTACTAAGCAGCTATTCATGTAAGCGTTTTTAAAAATATTGTCAAGGAAATATTCCGTAAAAGGACTGAGAAACACGTACATGATACACTTGTTTTTATTCCAGTACCCAGCCTAGAACTTTAACCAAGGAAATATTAATCGAATTTCCAGTGCCGCACACATACATTAAATACATGAAGGCACGTAAGTATTGACTGTTATCAGGACATAAATCCAATAAAAGCAATACATGAAACATATCCTTATAAAATCGTAGTATCACGTTAAACCACATGAAAGGGTACCGGAAACACAATAGTTCCTTTTGCAGGTACACCTAGTGTATTAATTTATTGCGTGATAGACGGCCCATCAATACAGAAGCGGTCAGGCCAATAAAAGGTAGATCAAAGTTAAACAGCAAAAGGAAAAGTTATAGAGCAAACTAAAAGATAAAGAGACAAAATTATGTCAACTTGAAATGCAAGGTATATCTTTTTAAACAGACAAACAGATTTCAGGTAGGTTAAAATTATTGTGATATTTACCGTTTCGAAGAAAGATTTGAGATTTGTTTTATATGCCTATAAATATTTTTTGGTAAGTTGGTTGAAGGTCAGTGCAATCTAATAACAAGTGTTTTACTGTAAATGGTTCAATGACCTGCTACACATTGAGGTTGTTCCTCGCGTTTTAATAAATGAGAATGAGTAATGTATGAACGATGTAATCCTTACTGTTCACTTTATAGACAATGTAATCCTCACTATTAAATTGGTAGACAATGTAATGACGGGTAAGGACAACCTCGTCTCGGCGGTTTTATCTATCGATATCATTCACCGATTTTGGAGTTTACGGAGTTTAATTTGTCGTCTACGCATTGATTCCAATTATTTTGTTACTTTGATTTTACAAAATTTGTTATTAACGGGTTCAAATCTGTAAAAGGAAGTTTAAAATCGACAGGTGGAAGTAATAAAGCCGCTTCGGGGGCGCGATCTGCCTTTTCATTACCTGGTATTCAGAATAGATGACTGACTTCAGTACATTATTGACTTTGATGTGTTCAATGGCGAGGTAGATAGCAAATGCTTCTGCAGAAAAACATTGGATTGAATACGAGAGGGTACCTTTAGTGTAAAGAATCTGTTCAAAGATGAACACACACCTATAAAATTGGTCAATAGATACAGTAAACCAAATATTATAAGGCAAATATGCAAAGATCGGCGTTAGATGTGCCCACGCGTGCAAAAGAAATTCTCCAGTAGGATATTTATTTGGTTTGGTTTGGTTTTATTTTGTTTAACGTCCTATTAACAGCTAAGGTAATTTAAGGACGAGCCCCCATGTGTATGCGTGTATGTGAGTATGTGCCGGAGGCAGGGTATGTTGGTGTACGTGCCTCCTTTTGATCTGATGCAATTCATTTTTGTTTTCACCAATAAAATACTATACGTAAGCCGTTAGTTTTCATTCTACAAAACATCAGTCCAGTCTCTAGTATGTACGTATTCATATAGTCAAACACGAGTTGTCTCGCTTTCATTTCTGATTCCGGAATGTGGTAAGCTGTGTCCAATTCAGAATGTATCATCGCTTTCTACTCATCACATGTTATTACGAGTAATTTGTGCACCAACATCATACATGTAATGGGCGAACGTTTGTTACACAATAGAGTTGGTAAAAACTGGGATCTCTCTGTGTAAGTTTCTCTTGCAAACTGACTAATAATGCAGCCGTCTTTATAATTGACCATTACTGTTGCGAGGACTTTAAACTCAGAACAAAACATCAACAACAAAAAAACAAGAAAAATCAACACAAATTATGACAACAGCCTAACAAGATGTGCCTATGCAGACAACGCCGAACAGAACAGATAGATGCCCCAGTGTTGCAATGCGGACTTCTTAAATACCCCTCCTCATACGATCATGGTCATGGAAACCAGCAGGCCCCTTCTTTCCCCGAACCAGTAGGGGAGGAAAGTTTCGGGGAAAGAAGAGGCCTGCAACCTCCTACTGCAGGTCGTAAAATGTGCCTTTTGTGCCCCCTCCCCCTACAAATGTGAGGGATTTATTTTGTCTTCCGTTAACAGGACCAACAAAAATACCTAATTACACTGCTTCGCCAGTTTGGGATCTTTATATTTTCTCTCTGCTTCTTATCAATTTTTTAGCTTCCTAGCACCTTCTTTGGCAATGTCTCCTTTTTGGCCTCGGTTTTGCCCAAGTGAGGAAGGAAAGAGTTTCTGTTCCCCGACCGGGACATACCAAAGTCCTTAAATATGGTAATTGTTCTCTGCCTATTGTTCAGCATGTCTTCTGCAAATGGGACACTGAAGAAACTTACAATTAATCATGCTGGATCCATTCCAACATTTGGGAACCTTGTATTTTCTCTCTACTTCCTTAAAAACTCTTTGTTTTCTAGTGTCCTGCTTGGCAGTACCTCATGTTTGGTCTTAGTGTTGAGCATCCGCCCAAGTGGGGTAGACAATGGGTTCTGGCCCTAAGAAGGAACATACCAAAGTCTTTAAAAAATGGTAGATATCATTCCCTGCTTAACGTTCAGCATTTAGCGTTATCGCAACAAATAGTTTACCCGTTGTCAATGATATTTAACCGGGTTGATTACTGGGCTTGGTGCCTTCGGCGAGGAAGCACTATCACAAGTAAGAAAAAACATCAACAAACCCTGCCTCCAGCTCACATACGCAGTTGCACGCATTCATTACATAGATGGAGCATGTCATT